ATCTACCCGCGGGGCCCTGCCTGGCAATCGGATCCGGGACCTAGAACAAAGGCAGCGGCCAGGTAGGAGCTCTGCTCAGGGCTGCTTCCCTTGCATGTGCCCGGGAGTCCTGGCAGCACCAGGGATCAGGCGTGGGGCTAGCAGAGAAACTACCGCACCTGGTGGGAAGCACAGCCAGAGACTCCCCAGTCGGGATCTGCCAAGCCACATGCCCACATCCCATCAGGAGGGCAGCTAGGGGCCACAGTCAGGTGCACTTCTCCTTACAGGAGCCATCAGCTGGAAAGAGAGCAAAGAAGGCAAAGGCACCTGGCAGCACCAGGGATCAGGCGTGGGGCTAGCAGAGAAACTACCGCACCTGGTGGGAAGCACAGCCAGAGACTCCCCAGTCGGGATCTGCCAAGCCACATGCCCACATCCCATCAGGAGGGCAGCTAGGGGCCACAGTCAGGTGCACTTCTCCTTACAGGAGCCATCAGCTGGAAAGAGAGCAAAGAAGGCAAAGGCAGAGCAGGGCTGTGCCTTCTCCCCTTATCCAGGGGTCGCAGTGCTGGGCTGACTATAGGTAATGGCCCCAGAGGGGTTGGCTGGGGGAGCCCTCCCTGCCTGCCCTGGAGGGGCTGTTATACCCGTAAGAGCGTAAACTCTGAGAGAACGGGGTGAGAGAGAAGCAATGAGAGGAGAAGATGAAAGAAGGAACCAGAGAGCAGAGGAGTGTGTTGGGAAGAGGAGAGCCCCGATAGCTGCCAGTGAGGCTCTCTCTTTGCAGTATGGAGATGCCCTAGTCCCCTTCCTGCTCCCCCAAATCCCTGGCTGATGAGAGAGGGGCCGGGGGCTGTCTCTCAGCTCCCTAGATCCCATGCCATTAACAGAGCAGGGAGAGAGGAAAGGGGTGCAAAGGGTAGGTAAATGCTTGCTGAGTGCTTGGCTGCCCTGGGTCTAGTTGGGCAGGGACATGCTGGGACTCCCGGCCCCTCTGTTCTGCCCTGCAGGTGACCCGTTCCCTATGGGTTTTGTGCTGGTTTGTTTCATAGGTGTTTCTCCGGGTTCCTAAAAGCCAGCAGGAGACCAAGGTGCAGCTGGGAGCTGAGACAAGCTGGATTTTGCCTGCACTGCAACACCTGGTCTGCTAGACAAGGGCTCTTGCTTTGAAGAGCGGCACTTTCCCATCAGGCCTAGGAACGGTGTTAAGGGGTCTCCTGCGTCCCTGGTTGTGGCGGGCCCCACCGTGAGGACACCAGACCCTTCCGCCCCATCGCACAGCCATCCTCTTCCCCCCAGCCCCACCCCGCCTGGTCTGTGGTTGGGCAGCTCGGCCAGCGCGAGGACTTGGTGGGGCTACACAGCTGTCAGGGGAACTGTGCTATGAATTGGTGCTTATGGATTGCCTACCTCAGCCTGTTCGCCATCAACTTTGCTGAAGGTGAGTGGGTGCACATGGCAGCACGCAGTACTGTGCGGGCTGGCAGCTGTACGCTCCAGGGGCCTGACCCAAGCCACTGAGCCCAATGGAGCCTTTCTCTGGGTTGGAATTGGCTTTGATCAGGCCCCAGAGCTGGGGGGATGCAGCAGGGAGGGGGCAGGAATTGTGAGGCCATAATTAGAGCAGCAAAGAAGGCTAATGCTCCACTGGGGGACCATGTTCATGGACAGCAGAGAGTGTGATGCTGCTGAGGAGGGAGAGGGAGGATCCCAGACATTTACCCCTTGTGGCAGAGGTAGTCCCCTTCCCATCAGCCCATGCAACAGGTTAGACTGAGCATTTCCAACAGAGCTCCCTTAATCTCGCTGATAGTGGCAAGTGGATCCCTGCGGGCCCCTGGTGCCGCCTCTGCCCTGGAGTTCCAGGGGGCAGCCTGCAGGGCAGTGGTAGGG